AAAAGAAAGGGGATAGCAATGACGACGATAGCGACGAAGACTCAGACACTGAATGATTGTTCAATCATTGATTCTTTAATGGTCATATTTATGAAATCGCCTTCTTATGCTACTTTCAAATGTGTCACTCATTTTTAATAGTAGAAAATCCTTACTTTAAGAGATCTCCTTGCACTGTATCACAAGGTATATACCCAACTTGATAAATAGTGATTTTTGGACGCTACTGAACCATGGCAGAGAACTGCTTCTCGATGAAATAGCAGGCCAATACATTGCGTTTTACTGCTGCCCCAATTCCATAGTTTATGGCAGCGTTCTAGATATGGAAAGTTGTGGTAAATTTCTCTGTGATTAGAGTTAAGATAACCCTTATATCCAAAATTTTTGCTTCACTATCTCTGAACTTTTGTTAGTATCTTTCAAATTTTGTTTCTTTCCACAAAACCACTCGAAAAAAATGCTAGTGCTCTTTTTTTATTAGCAACGCCTCAAAAGTGGTCACAATCGTTTTATCACGTTCCTTGATTTAATCTGGGGTGGTATAATCTAACCGAAATTGCGAGTTAGCGACGGTTAATAACTCGCAGTCAACTACCAGTCTCATTTGAAATGAAGACCTAACTGTGAGTTAACCGCCAGTTATAGAAAGAAACGTTGGTTGCAAATACATGGACCTTAGCAAGATCAAACCCGCAATGATCAATCTCTTACACTGTAGTCTATACCACTACACTATAAATCAAAATTGCGCGAACTTCTAAAGGTTCACTAAGACAGATACTACGGGATAATATTTCAATCTTGTTGCGTTGTGTGATAACTAGATCTAACGTCTTATATATATAACGGATGATATTCGTGTCAAAATCCCCCATGTGGTCTGAAATTTGGAGATAAAACTCGCAGTTAACAGCAAAGTTAGCTGGCAGTCAAGAAATGAAATGAAACTGCGAGTTAACTCCGAGTCACAACGATAGGTTAAGATAGTGTTGTTAGGACTAGAGACACAGTATAACAGTGCTCATTTCTTGAAAAGTACTCCATACGACTTTCTGATGATATGAGCACTATTATACCTGTGTCTTTATCTCTTACAACCCTTATCAATAATACTCGCGGTTAACTCGCAGATTTCATTTCTTGACTATGAGTTGACTTGGAGGTCAACTGCGAGATAACCTGGAGTTTGCTCAGAGATAAACCAATTATTTTTGTGGGTTTCGAAACTTTTGAAATTTACTCTTGTAAACGTTTAAAGCTTATCGCTGCATTCTTCTGTACCAAGATTTTCTGGGGTGGTAGTAATTTAGCCGAAACTCTGAGTTAACGATCATCATTAATTAGCAGTCAACTCG